ATAGCTCTAAATTTCAACTGGTCAGTAATGTAATACAATTTAAACTTAGGAAATGTTCTGACATGTAGCAGCAGCTTAATACAGTATACACATAAAATTCTGTCATCAGGGAAAATTAGGCTTTATGATCTGTAGGCTCAAAATGAGCCCAAAATGAGCACCTTGATATGTGCTTGAGAATGGATTTGTCTCCATTCAAACCCAGGTTTAAAGCCTTGCAGGGCAGCCTAAAGCCCACTGCTCTTATTAAGCCAGAAAAAAGAAAAAAAGAAAGAAAAAAAAGTGAGTCAGGAAATTGTCTATATATCAAACTAAACAGTTGTTTAGTTTGAGATATAGATTAGATCGCTCCCATTAGATTTTAAAATGGAAAAATTTTATTTTTTTTCATATTTTTTTATTTAAAAATTCAATGTATAACATGGATACATAAACACCTCATTTTATTGCAGTGTTAAATTCTGTTTAAAGTAACCGATCATTAAGAATGTCTCCGGACCTTTACTGGTTGATAATTTTCTTTATACGGACCCCAATGATTTTTAATTGGAAACCCCTGGTTTAATGTTTATAAATGTTTATTTCACGTCATGTGCACCATCCAATGTAGATCATTGGCTCCATCCCCATCTATTGAAAACTATTGTAATTGGATGAGTCACATAACACAAACACTCATTGGTTGGCTAAATTGAAATCATCAGAAGCAAGCAGGTGTTCTTCGAACTACGAACGTGAATTGTCTATGCCATGCTACAATGAAGGTTTCAAAAAAAGATGTTGAAATGTCTGAAAGTTCGGACACAGGGGAGAGCGTATCGGGAGATGGAGACGGAGACCAACAAGACCTCCCTCATCCTTGGCCCTATCTCAAAGAATTTTTCGAAATAGTCAAAAAATTGAGCTTTCAATTCATATAGTGGCATCTGGCTGTTTTTAAAAAGGTTATGTTATACTTTTCTACTTTAAGTAGTTTTTGGAGCACATACTTTTTCACTTTTACTTGAGTAAAGAGGTCAAGTTGATACTTCAACTTTTACCAGAGTGTTTTCAAACTGCAGTATCTATACTTCTACCTAAGTAACAAATGTGTACTTTTGACACCACTGGATTTAGGGGACCAACAGGGAGTGAAAAGTTGTAAACATCTGTCTGAACTGTCAGTTAAAGCCCCTGTCACACCTTGACGAATTAGACGTCAAGGTGTCCCTGATGTACAGGACGAAAAATCTGGAAAAAACGCTGGCATATGTTGGAGGAGTTATGGGTACGTTTTGTAAAAGTTATGAGCACGCTTAAGCAAGCTGAAACCCACTGGCACACGTCGACATACAGCAAGTACGTTGGTGTATGTCAGCGTACACCATACATGCAGCATAAGTTACAGGTAAGTTATCTGCTTGTTGACATGCCTTAAGTGTAAGTTATTCATAGGTCGTGGTGTCTAGCTTATCCAAAATCTATGAGTAGCTTGTGCATATCTTAATTGGGAAGTGAAGGACATAATTAATCCACCCATCCACCGTCTCCTGCTTAGTCCTTGTCAGGGTTAAGATGGAGCCAGCAGTCTATGGCAGCCCCGGGGCTGTGGAAAGGTTTCCCCTCCAGCATCCACTTGACCCCGACTCTAAGCTGTTGTAAACCCTCCCTTAAAATCCATCTGTTTGCATAGCCTTTTTTTTTTATTAAACCATTTCTGATATGTATTTTCAGTTTCTCTGTTGTTGAAATTATAGTTTATTAAACCTGGTTTGTATTGTATGTATTGTATTGTATTGTTAATTGTGAAGCATTTTGGGCAGCAGTTTTGGTTTTGTAAATGTGCTATAGAAATAAAGTTGACCTTGACCGATGGGAAAGAGGCGGGGTACACCCTGGACAGGTCACCAGTCTGTTCGATAACTGTCGCAGAGCAACACAGAGACAAACAAACATGCATACAATTTAGAGAATCCATTAACCTAAGAGTCATGTGTTCTCTACTATCAGAGGAAGGTGGAATCAAACCTGGAACCTTCTTGCTGAAAGGCAACAGTGCTTCTGATTTCACCATTGTGCAGTCCAGACACATTACATTGATAAAGAAAAATAAAAATAAAAAAACATGTCATGGAGTATGCCCTGATTTGTCTATTAGCTTTTTCAAGCAGTGGCATCATTTAATTACACATAAGCTTCACTTTTAGTACGACACCTGTGATCTAAAAACAGCTTCCATCAACAATTAAAGTTGACTCCAAATATAGAGATCATGGTTAAAGACAGCCCTCAATCCAGAAAGCATTTTGCTTCTTTTTTCTGTATAATTTCAGATATTACAAAATAATGCAATTTAATCTACAATCATAATAATGATATGGTAATAATAATAATAATAGGGTGTTATTGTGAGCAGTTGTTCTACATCAGCATTTTTGGTTGTTATATATAGTTGCTGGCCCCCATGGTCTATAAATGGGGCTGGGGGGCACCACAGTGTTCTCAGGGTACCTAGATGTCTAACACTTCCCCTGCCAAAGTCTATCATCAATGAGTCAGTCAGAGTATTTCCATAGAGCCACTTTGCATCAGCAGCTCCATGCTCCAGTAATCTGGGAGAGTTTATAGTCCTGAGAGCTGAACACTGGATGACTGACAGCTGTCCTTCATGACAACAGAAGACACAGAAATCCTCCTCATCCAAAACATGACTTTGATCTGCGTCCTCATCTGGACTCTCCTCTGCAGCTGCTTCACAGGTAAAGTCCAGAGAATCAAACTCCTCTCCTCTATGAACATCCGTTCCTCTGTAATGAAGCCGACAAACCATGAAGCTGCTTTATGTTTTTGTCTCTGTGTCCTCAGAATCCAGAGGTCAGGTCACAGTGATTCAGCCTTTAGCAGTGAGAGCTGATCTGGGAGGATCTGTTGCCATCAGCTGTCGAACCAGTCAGAATGTCCATGGCTCTAACCATTTAGCCTGGTACCAACAGAAAGATGGAGGAACTCCCAAGCTGCTCTTTTATTATGTTGGCAACCGAGTCTCAGGAACTCCAAATCGGTTTAAAGATGGTGGATCAAACTCTGACTTCACTCTGACCATCAGTGGAGTTCAGGCTGAAGATGCTGCAGTTTACTACTGTCAGAGTACTCATCACATCAACAGTCAGTGGGTGTTCACACAGTGAAAAACAGTCGTACAAAAACCTTCCTCAATCAGGCAGAACTGAAACTCCAGCTTAATAAAAAAAAGACTCCATGGCAGAGCACTACACACAGAGTAACAAAATACACACAAAAAAAAAAAAAAAAAATTGTGTGTGTATTTAAACAAAAACGGCACTGGGAACTGATCAAAACAGGGTTTATAAGGAGGTGGAGACAGGTGGAACCAGTGAGAGTTAATGGCAGGCAGGGTGCAGTTGAGCAGGTGTCCCAAGTTCAGGATTAGTTGAGCACCAGTGCCGAGATCGTCACAATTGCAATGTGTTCCTTTACACCAGAGTTCACAGATTACCAGACCGCAGTCCAGATCCAGACCCACCCTCTGGCTAATCCGGACCCATCCTGATTTAAAACATTTATAAATTACCACATGTTGTCCAACAACAGAGTCTAACTTCGCTTACGCCGCTTTTCCTGCTAATATGGTAAAGGCCTCCCTGAGCGCCCAGGTCCAGGCTACACATGAAACAAATTGCCCAATGAGCTGTGTCAGTCTGGGTCAGTGTGGCGAGATACTTTTAGACACAGCAGCCAGCAGGAGAATACAATGAGAAAAAGAAAGCAGGAAAGTGTGGAGTGCTGGAAGAGCTGGGGTGAACTGAAGTCAGAAAAGTGAAATGGTGTGCTCAAAGATGACCCTGCACATTTTGAGTTTGTTTAGCTCAACCTGCTGCTGTAATGCAGGATTCTCCACCATGAATACAATCAAAAATAAATATCGATCCAGGCTTACGAATGAGCACCTTGATATGTGCTTGAGAATGACTTTGTCCGAGGTCTAACGTTTTGCAGGTCAGCCTAAAGCCTACTGCTCTCAATAAGCCAGAAAAAAGAAGAAAAAATAAGAAACGGCCAGTTCAGGTGTTTTATTTTATTGTTAATTGTGAAGCATTTTGGGCAGCAGTTTTGTTTTTGTAAATGTGCTATAGAAATAAAGTTGACCTTGACCTATGGGAAAGAGGCGGGGTACACCCTGGACAGGTCACCAGTCTGTTCGATAACTGTCGCAGGGCAACACAGAGACACACAAACATGCATACAATTTAGAGAATCCATTAACCTAAGAGTCATGTGTTCTCTACTATCAGAGGAAGGCGGAGTCAAACCCAGAACCTTCTTGCTGCAAGGCAACAGTGCTTCTGATTTCACCATTGTGCAGTGCAGACACATTACATTGATAAAAAAATAATTAAATAAAAAGCATGTCATGGAGTATGCTCTGATTTTTCTTTTAGCTATTCAAGCAGTGGCATCATTTAATTACACATAAGCTTCACTTTTAGTACGACACCTGTGATCTAAAAACACTTTCCATCAACAATTAAAGTTGACTCCAAATATAGAGATCATGGTTAAAGACAGCCCTCAATCCAGAAAGCATTTTGCTTCTTTTTTCTGTATAATTTCAGATATTACAAAATAATGCAATTTAATCTACAATCATAATAATAATAATAATAATAATAATAATAATAATAATAATAATAGGGTGTTACTGTGAGCTGTTGTTCTACATCAGCATTTTTGGCTGTTATATATAGTTGCTGGCCCCCATGGTCTATAAATGGGGCTGGGGGGCACCACAGTGTTCTCAGGGTACCTAGATGTCTAACACTTCCCCTGCCAAAGTCTATCATTAATGAGTCAGTCAGATAATTTCCATAGAGCCACTTTGCTTCAGCAGCTCCATGCTCCAGTAATCTGTGAGAGTTTATAGTCCTGAGAGTTGAACACTGGATGATTGACAGCTGTCCTTCATGACAACAGAAGACACAGAAATCCTCCTCATCAAAAACATGACTTGGAACTGCGTCCTCATCTGGACTCTCCTCTGCTGCTGCTTCACAGGTAAAGTCCAGAAAATCAAACTCCTCTCCTCTATGAATATCTGTTCCTCTGAAATGAAGCAGACAAACCATGAAGCTGCTTTATGTTTTTGTCTCTGTGTCCTCAGAGTCCAGAGGTCAGGTCACTGTGATTCAGCCTGCAGCAGTGAGAGCTGATCTGGGAGGATCTGTTACCATCAGATGTAGAACCAGTCAGAATGTTTATAATGGAAATGAGTTGGCATGGTACAAGCAGAGAGGAGAGCAACGTCCCACAGCTTTGATCAAGCTTGTTAATCAACGACTATCAGGGATTTCAAGTCGTTTTACAGGCAGTGGATCAAACTCTGACTTCACTCTGACCATCAGTGGAGTTCAGACTGAAGATGCTGCAGTTTATTACTGTCAGAGTGTTCATCTGATGAACAGTCAGTGGGGCTTCACACAGTGAAAAACAGTCGTACAAAAACCTCCCTCCCTCAGAGACTGATTTAGTTTAAGGAACCAAAAGAAAAACAGTAACACTTCGGTTAAAAATGAAAGAAATATGCTTAATGCCATTGGTTTAATCACAAAAAATGATAGGAACTATTTATTTATTTTGCATTTATTTAAATATAAGCCACCAGAACAACATAGTTTTTTTACTTTCTTAATCATTAATTCATCATTTAAATATTTAGAAATACATTAAGTAGAAAAAATTCTATTACACTTAAGTTAGACAATGGTGAAGCATAAACTATAAATACTTTTGAATAAAATTCATCCTGAGTCAGGGGATGGCAGTCTCCAAATGCCGCATTGCAACTCTAAATGGGGTTTTATATTTTTTCTTCACTTTAAAAAAACAATGACTGTATGCACCGACTTATATCAAATTCTTGTAGAAACGAAAAACAGCTGAGTTGTAAAGTAAGCAGTGGTCAGAAAAATCTCTAAACTTCAAGTTTTCTTCAGATTGCCTGCAGAACAACAAACACATTGAGAATTATATGGAATTGGTGTTTTCATGAACAATCAGCTGCAAACTAGCCTTACATCACTGGCGTTACATCACTGGCGTTACATCACTTGCCCTAAAACCCAATACTGGCTTCTAGGAGGGTGAAGACATGTTTGCTGGAGAGCTGAATCATGTCTCTCCCTCTGGAAATGTTATGATAAGTCAGAATTAAATAGTTCCAAGGAAACAATGAGGAGGAGATTAAGGTTGTTTAGGCGTTGGTTTTGGCTCCTTGGTTTCTAAGGCACAATACATCACATTTCTACCCACATGCTTTACATTGTCATTTAAGAGACTTTCTCTGGATATTTAAAGTGTGGATTTTACAGTAGTTTGTGCTTAAATGGATAAAAAAACAAGAAATTTTAGAATTTCTGTAGTTTTATTTCTAAAAGTTCTTGTTTAGACTTGTCAATAAATTGTTTATAGATTATTAGGAGGTTATCCTACAAGGTCTGTAAATATAAAAAAATACCGATATTTTGTTTAAGGTGAAAAGCAAATTTAAATAAACAGAAAACGTAAGTTATAATAAGATGAGGCTCAATGGGTCATGTCTTTTTTTTCTTTTTTTGTAGCCTACTTGACTATTTAACAACATTTTCAAAGTTATCCTATCCAGTAAGAGCAAGTTTTGACTTAAGGATAATGTGTCACAAAACAATACATTATTGTCTCCAACAAAGATGCCCTCTTGGCAAAGCCTCTTTAATTAGACCTTTAACCTGTCACTGATACAACATTATACGTCAAATGCATTATCAGAGAAACAGATATAAAGAGGGTTTTTTTTTAAAGCCATTACATAGATGTCAATTTCTATAGGAGTCAGATTATTTCCATAGAGCCACTTTGCATCAGCAGCTCCATGCTCCAGTGCTTTGGGAGAGATTATATTCCTGAGAGTTGAACTCTGGATGATTGACAGCTGTCCTTCATGACAACAGAAGACACAGAAATCCTCCTCATCTAAAACATGACTTTGATCTGCGTCCTCATCTGGACTCTCCTCTGCTGCTGCTTCACAGGTAAAGTCCAGAGAATCAAACTCATCTCCTCTATGAACATCTGTCCCTCTGAAATGAAGCAAACAAACCATGAAGCTGCTTTATGTTTTTGTCTCTGTGTCCTCAGAGTCCAGGGGTCAGGTCACAGTGACTCAGCCTGCAGCAGTGAGAGCTGATCTGGGAGGATCTGTTTCCATCAATTGTAGGACCAGTCATAATTTTATTTATCGTGATTCTTACCATTTTTTGTCCTGGTATCAACAGAAAGATGGTCGAAACCCTAAACGTATCATTTATGCTGCCAGCTATCGAGAATCCTGGACTCCAAGTCGTTTTATAGGCAGTGGATCAAACTCTGACTTCACTCTGACCATCAGTGGAGTTCAGGCTGAAGATGCTGCAGTTTATTTTTGTCAAGGTCAAAACAATATCAACAATCAATGGGTGTTCACACAGTGAAATACTGTTGTACAAAAACCCCCTTGGTCTGACTGAACTGCAACTCTTTTTGATAATACAGGAACCAAAACAACTAGAACTCATAATGACCTTCTTCCTCATACTCTTTTAGTTCATTCACACAAGATAAGGCATGATAGTTTGATGATCGTTTTAGCTTATACTATTAAAAATCTAATAATAACGCATCTTTTACGACAACCAGAGATCAAACTGTATATAACAGCTAAGGCAAAAAAGCATTTACTATGGATTATAATCTTTTTCTAAGATATGAAAATAATTTTTGTAGTTTACTAAAATTAGGTAAATGTCCTATCAGATATTTTTTGATCAATAGTTTTGGAGGTAAAATAATAACAGCTTCCTGTCAGTATATGCTTAAAAATATATCTTAAAATTTGTGAAATAAACACTGAATAAAAATCACCTATAGATGAGTGCTGTTAACTGGATTTATTTTAACTAGTAGTTTGTATTCCAACTTACTGTACAAACATTATCATTTTAGTATTAATAAGTTTATGATTAACTTTTTTTCATCAATTTATTGTTGCATCAATTTCAGTTCAGTCATAGAAGTTAAAGGTTTATGGTTTCCGTTTATGGTGTCTGATATATATATATATATATATATATATATATATATATATATATATATATATATATATATATATATATATATATATATATATATATATATATATATATATATATAAGGTTCTGCGCTTTAGGATGACACATACCACCCCACGAGGGGTGAGAAAACATTTATATATATATATATAGCGGCTGGTTAGCCATCCATACTACCCGGATCTTCAGCAAAGACATCGGTATGTCATTCAGACTAATGAAGTGTGGTCGGATGGTAACTAAGAGAGGGAAGGTAGTCCACACAGAGGGGGTCTCACTCGCAGATGGAACAATTGCAGACATTGAAGACAGCTTCAAGTACCTTGGAATCCCACAGGCAAATGGCAGCCTTGAAGAGGTAAAGAAAGCGGATACGGCCAAATACCTACAATGAGTAAGGCAGGTCCTGAGGTGCCAGCCCAATGGCAAGAATACATCTCAGGCAATAAATAGCAATGCTCTACCACTAATCAGATACCCTGTAGGAATAATAAGCTGGCCAAAGGAGGAGGTACAGGCCACAGATGTTAAAACACGAAAGCTCCTAACCATGCATTGAGGGTACCACCCCAAATCCAGTACCCTGAGACTGTACGCCAGCCGTAAGGAAGGAGGCCGAGGACTAAAGAGCGTAAGAGCCACTATTCAGGATGAAACATCCAAGATCCATAAGTACCTCAAGGACAAGGCTCCAACAGATGACATCCTCACCGAATGTCTCAGACAATGGGGAACAGAAGATGAGGTGCCAGAGACTCCATCATGGGAGGAAAATCCCTACACCGGACATAAAACCTGAACATAGTTGAAGTGGCAGATATCAGGAAATCCTACCTACCTGTCACTAAAAATTCTTCTGTCTGTGTCCTAAATTCTTAGCTCTTGACAAATTATCAGAATAAGCAACACATAGTTAGAGAATCACTTATAAGATCAGTTCCAGTGTTTTTTTATGTTATCTGAATGTATTTTAGAGTACTTTATCACCAGTGGAGAATCAGTGTGAAAATTCTTCCACAGTTTAGCAGCACAAACTTTACCAGTGGTTATCCTAAGGGTAAATACTAAATTCCTAAATTATTAAAACCGAAGGAATTCCATAACATCAATACAATAACAGTAATATTATTAGTTATATCTTTATATTTATGAAATGTAAATGCAATTTATTGTAAGAATTTTAAGGTAGCAAATCAACTTTATAAAACTACAGTAACTATCCAGACATTAATCTATGAATTTCTGCTTTTTAAAATGTTACCTTTAAATAAAATACATATTTTTTTATCTTTTAACAAAACAATTATAATTTATACTAGTATGATTCATTTATTTTAAATAAAAATTACTGAAACTGATAAAATTAAATTGTAAGTTATTTTGAAAACATTTCTTAAAGGTCACATCATGCCCATAATATGCATTGTAAAACATAAGTATTTGATGAAGAACAACGGAGCTCAGAGTTACATTCCAAATTGATTTGAAAACAAAACCCTTCACCATCTACACTTGACACCGTCTATGGTGATGCTCCAACATTGAATGACCAAAGGAACATTTAATTGTTTAGTCCAGGGGTCTTCAACGTTTTCCAGGCCAAGGACCCCCAAACTGATGGTAAGATGGTGCGGGAACCCCCTAATTATATAAATGTTATGAAATTTGTTTTATATCAAACTGGTCCTATAGTCACCCTATTATAGATGGAGTAATGTAATAAAAGTAATTTCTCCCTGGGATTATTAAAATATTTCTGATTCTGATTCCTGGTTGATGGGACAGGTGTTGTAAATGAAACGGTGCCCAGCTTGAAAGAGCTCCTGTGTGTCGCTGAATGTGTGCATTGATGACTGAAAGACATCTTCTGCCTCCATTTATCTGTTTACTTCAGTGTGTTGAATTCATGTTAATGTGTAAAGATCACAGACCTCCTGTTGAAGACCTCCGGTTTAGTCATTAGTCATTAATCATTGTTAGCGGTAATATATTGCACTTTAGTAGGACTAAAACTGTCTGCTATTATTGCAGTTCTCCCAAAGCCACAACACCAGCTTCATCCTGCTTCCACTCACTTCCTTATTCATGTCTACATTACTTACAGAGAGGGTTTGTGAGGAAAAAAAATAACAGGATTATCCTATTGTGTTTATTTACTAATTTCTGTAAGAGGAGTCAGAACTGATCAATGAAATGTGGCTTAAAGTCAAATATTTAAAAATATGTTCTGATCGAATAAAATAATCAGAGCATTTTTCAGATTGTATTTATTTATTATTTTCAATGACAGTTTGCTACAAGATTTTTTATTGAGCTCATGAAATCAAGAAAACTTTAATGTTTCGAAATACAGCCTTTAAAGACCTATTGAAAAAGAAATAGTAGTAAACTTAAAAAGCACAGACAAGGCAGTAGCAAAGAAAATTAAATAACTGAGGAACCACGCTCAGTACTGGGAGCACTGGTCTCTCCTCAGTGTCTCTGTGACTGCAGTCTGGGAGCCCTGGGTGGCCTCACAGGTCACAGAGCCGACCTTCTTCCACTGGTGTGCAGGGAGCCTCAGGGTGCTGCTCCAGCTGTAGAGACCATCATTCTGCTGCACTACTTTGCTCTTGTTCTCCTCCCAGGTGAAGGTGTTAATGCTGCCCTCCACCTTCCAGGACAGACTCCAGTCTGAGGGGAAGCCCTTGTTGGCCAAACACACGAGGGTGGCCTTCCCCTGGTGCAGATCCTCACTGGAGGGGGGCAGCACTGTCACGATGGGACGGGTATTACCTGGGAGACACCAATCTAGTTAGAGAACAGAAACTGCAGAGACTTTAGCTCTGGTGCGAGCCAATAGAATTGAAAAAGAATCCTAGGTAGGTTTCGAAACAGAGAATTAAAACAGCAGAAACTGTGATATTGTAACAGTTGGGGATGATTTCCTATTGAAACGTTTCTGACAGATGTCTTCATGCTCCACTCGTCTCTCACTGACACATTTTTTCACTTCCCTTTCAGAGAATGTCGTCCTCATCGAATAAAATAGCCAAAGAACTTGATTTTACAAAAATTCTAACATTCAAATAACACAATTAAATATTTTAAATCCAAAACTTACAAAGTTTTTTTTTCAATGTTGCCGAAAAATATATATTTTTACAGTATTGATTTAACCATACCCCTCGCGACCCCACTTGGGATTAAGCGTGTAAAGAAAATGGAGGGATGGATGGATGATTTAACCATTAAGTTTTACCAAAAATTAGTTAGACTTTGGAGTATTTTTCACTCTTAATGTTTAACTGTAGATCATGACATGAATGTAAAAAAATACAGATTTGGCTCTGCTCTAGTTCATTTTTATCCATTTAAACAGAGCCAATAAACTGTTTTACAGCAGGTAAAATTTAAACACAAATTAATACATTTAGAAATTAACAAAAACCAGTCTTCATATTCATTTTAGAATAAACATTTCATATAATTTAGACAGATTTTAGTTCTTCTTTTAATTCATTCTAAATTTGTTTGTTTGGTTTCAAAAAAATTACGCAATTTCTTTTCAGTTTCTGAAGAAATAGAAGTCTTTCTAACTCCTATAAAATATTGTAGATGTTGGTTTAATTATTTAGTTTTACTTACTTCCAACCTCCAGTCTGGTTCCTCCACCAAAAGTCCACCACAGTGATACAAACTCATTGAGCCGTCGTACAAAAACCTCTGACTGTAGAAAGACATTGCTCTCTGACTGAACTAAACCTACAAGCTAAAATTATTCAACTAAACAGGGAAAAAAACGATTTCTTTATGGAGTTACTTTAAAATATTTTGTGATCTATTCATTATTTGTGTTCTGTGTCCTCGTGCATTTTTTTTCCCATAAAAGTAAAAGATAAAAGTAAAACTATACTTATTTTTCCTTTAATCTTTCATTCTTAAAAACAATACAGAAAACGAAAAGCATTCTTAAACAAAAATAGTTTAGTTTTACTTACTTCCAACCTCCAGTCTGGTTCCTCCACCAAAAGTCCACCACAGTGATACAAACTCATTAAGCCGTCGTACAAAAACCTCTGACTGTAGAGAGGAACGGCTCACTGACTTTCAAACAAACAAAAACTTAGACTACAGATTTTTAACAGATAAAAATAATGAACTAGCTTTTTCATATGACACACAACTTTCAAATAGGGGGATTTTTTTCAGTTTATTTTATTATTATTTCAGTTGCAGAAGGTAGAAAACTGTAACTTTCATAAAATGTCAACTACAACATAACTAATATGTACTTTTTTATGTCAAATTTTATTTGAAAATCTGAAAACATCCACATGCAGAAACACCGGAGTTGTTTGGTAAAACTCATTAAAACTTATTATTATGATCAACAGGTTTCCATCCATCCATCCATCCATCCATCCATCCATCCATCCATCCATCCATCCATCCATCCATCTTAATTTGGTCGGAGTCTTTCTCCCTCGAGTTTGCAAGTGTATGTCTGGGTTGTCTCTGGTTACTCTGGTTTCCTGCCACACTCCAAATACATGACTGTTAGCTTAATTAGCATCTCTAAATTATTGTGAGGTGTGGGTGTGCGCATGGCTGTGTGTCTGTGTGCCCCCCTGTGATGGGCTGACAACCTGTCCAGGGTATACTTGACCTTTTGCTCATAGACTTCTGCAGATGGGCAACACCACAACCACGACCCTGTAGGATAAGCAGGATAAGAGGAATGGAAAGTTTGTTTTTATTTACATAGAAAATAAACTGAAATACTTTGCCAAAGAGAACACAAAATACATAAACTTTTTAAAATTGACTATATTTTTTTTATAACTTTAACATAGAATTGCTATGCCTGTGTACATTCTCAATCATCCAGGTCATGTGTAAGATTTGTGACCTGGTGGACCTCTGCCTATCAACTACATATTTCAAATACATGGATAACTTTTACCAACAGAAACATGGGTGCACCATGGGCTCAACTGTTTCACACTCGCTGGCAATATCTACATGGAGGGCAGAGAATTTAGCACATACAAAGAAGCACAACCATATCCCTGATTCATGTGGATGAGACACCTGGGTCGAAATCCAAACCCAGAAAGTTGAAGCATTCAGCAATTACATCAACTCAGTGAACAGAAACATCAAGTTCACTAGAGAGGATGCCAAAAATAGACTAATACCTTTAAAATTATGACCAAATTCACCCACTGGAGCATAAAATTTCTGTAATCAGAAGTCTGAGTTACCGGGCTGACAATATTCCCTCAATTACGGAGGAGAAATTAAAAGAAAAAAAAAACATGTTAGAAAATCGCTTGATGCATGAGCTCATCCAAACTGGTCAATAGTTATAAGCATTGTGGAGGATTTTTGAAAAATTTTCAAAAGACCCGCCCACACTTAAAAAAATGCACGTGTGAGAAAAAGCTCGAAACCATTCCTCCTTGTGCACGATCTGTTTAAAAGCTGCTGTTCTCATGCCTCTCATGGAGCTGGGACTTTATAGTGGACTTTATGTCAAAATCAGTTAACTAACCGTTCGGACAGATGATCACTGCTTTTTGCTCCGTTTTTCATGTAACTCCTCCTCCACTGTGCGAAGCCTGCGCCATCTTAGTTATTAGTCGCTGCTGTCAGGTAGCAACAACCCAGGCAACAGCAAGCCCAGCAAATCCTATTATGCTTTGCCAGGAAAGCTCTCCGCTAAAAGCATTCTGGGATATATTTGCCTCTACTGAGGCCTTTCTATTTTTTCTCATACACTTTGTAGACACCTTTTCTCTTACGACCCTCTGTGATTTTCAAAGAGCTGCGGTGAGAAAGGAGAGCTTCAATAATTGTCTGAAACCGTAGCTCACCACACATATACGCCCGAAAGTGTGCTTGCACAGAAACGGATAGCTAACAGTTCAAGCACGTAGGACAGCTTTACGTAAACATATCACCAAAATGATTGACATTTAGGAGGACCACTTATTTAGATGATCCACCCAGAAATAAAAGATCATCCTCTTTATCTTAAAGTTGGCCAAAAAAACCAACAGAAAGAACAAAACTGCATCAAACAAAGAGGAGAGGGATGCAAAAACATTGTAATTCAATGTGTGTCATGAATGTCTGAGAAACTCAAAAACAAAACATACTGGTGAATTTAAAAACTAACAAAACACTTGCATAAAAACTGGTTCATTCTCAAGACAGCAAACCCAAATCTAAGCTGTGTATGAGATCCAGTACATTACAGACTGTATAGCCTCCTATATTATAGAAACAAAGCCACAAATTCATAAAAGCATGGCACAGCATAGGAGAGCAAGCAGCTCTGGGAAAGAATCAGCTGATTACTTGTCCTTCAAAAACAAAGGACACACCTTTGAAGATCAACGTGTTCAGATTTTGGACAGAGGACAGGTGGTTTGAAAGAGGCGTCAGTTGAACTATCTTTATGAAAAGAGAAAGGCCATCACTGAACAGAGGCTGAGGATTGCAGTTACAGCTTCTAAGCATTTGAAATTCAGCCATGAAACTCATTCCCAAGAATTTGCAATTAACTCCTATTATGATTCAAAAGACAAACAAAAGGCTCCAAAAATCCAGACAAAAACACAGTGTTAAAGGAGGGTGGTACTGATTAACATTTTTAGCTTCTCTATGTTAATATTTACTTGACCCTTTACTGATTGTGATGTTCTATTTGGTTCAATTGTGTATTAAGTATTGAAATAGAAATTATAAAGCATGTTTTATACATAAGAAGCAAAAATTGCTTTACATAATCAACAATATTTCAATAACATATCCGATCTGCAGTGCTAGTTTACATTAGAGTCCTGCACGGGTCGAGTTTTACCAACCCGCACCCGCCTGAACCCGTTAGGATGACTACAGAACCCGACCCGTCACCCGCAGATATCTTCAATTCAAATCAGAACCCGACCCGACCCGTTGATATTTAACCCGCAACCCGACCCGTTAACACATCAAGTAATAGGCTATAGTACGCTGCGCTGCAGAACAGCGCCATTAACACTGCAGCAGACGTGTATGCACTGACTGTGGGCTTTTTGGAGGGAAGTCCCCACACTGCCAGCAGGGCTTTAAGCTACAACAAGGGTGACCCCAGACAGTGCCTGATTAATATAACATTTCTGATGTCCATAACAATAGACACGCATAAAAAAAAAATAAAAAATCACCAACTACCCACCCGCACTAAAAAAATCTCCGCCCGACGCCCGACCCGTTTATTTTTATTTATGTATTTTTCACCCGCAAAAGAGCATTTTTGAGGGTGACCCGTTGCAGGACTCTAGTTTACATGACTTTGATTATGTTAAAGGAATGAACTAATGAAACTTGGATAATGCACCTTGTCCAATTTTTCCAGTTTTTATCTCAAGCAAGTTTAAGAAGCTGTGCCTGACTAAATGTGTATCCCATGTGGGTGAACCTTCAATTTTTGTATTTTGATGAGAAAACAGATAGAAAAATTACCAAAGAATATTTGTCAAAATAGGTAGGGAATGCAAACATCTGCATGCTTCACATCCAAGTTGCCAATATCTCCATCCCCTTCTTAGTTTGAGATATAAAGTGTTGAAAATGATGCAGCTTTGCTCACATAATCATACCTGTTCCCTGAAGTAGTTGTGTTGGTTTCATGTCAGTAGGAGAATATTTGTGAAAATAAGCAGGGGTTGCAGTTATCAGCAAGTTCCACTTTCTAAGTTTATGAAATAAGGTATTTGAAAAGATGAAGGCTGGCGTTTACAAAAGCAAGACATGCTATCAATGGAGGAGGGAAATTATTCCACTGACACTCTCAACATTCACAGCAAATGTGCTTTGAGGAGCAAGATGGCGCCAGTGCGGTCAGCTTGCTGTTTGCTGCTCGTGCAATGTTTGGTGTTTTTATTTCTAACTTTTGGATCTAAAACAATTGAGTTCAGTCTCTTTTGTTTTTTCTGCTGAAAATTGGACACGTCAATGCTTGGAATCATTATGACAGAAACACACTGCCTCGTCTTGATGAAAAGGTAAAATAGATAATTAAATGTAGTGTTGATACATTTTGGATTATCAACAATAATAGCACTTTAATAAACAAAGATCAACAGTAAAAATAGACTACAATAAAATATTGTAGTGTAAAAACATCTTATTTACTGGGAAATTTAATCATCAGGTAAAGCATGTTATTTGTATGGCATGCAAGATAGTGTAAATTAGAAACACAAATAATGGTTCTTTCTGCTATTAGTTGCTAATTAGTATTTACTGCAGCGGATTTCGAGCACCTTGGTTCAGAATTTTGCTAAAAGTCCACACGTGTAATAAATACTCGTTTGAGCAGTTCTATTTCAAACACACGCATGTTCTTCTGTACATGGCATCATCCAAATATACGGGACCTAACTGTACCTCTCAGCAACAAGACAAGACCTTGTCTTAAGTATTGTTTTACTCCTACATGTAGGATGTCATCTTATCACCTTTTAAAACATTTTAAGTCTCATTTAAAGAAATTGGCTGTATAAATTATTAAAAAGTAAAAGGTAAAAATCTGAGTATCTAAAATGTCACAGTATTTACACCGAAATTCAGGCTTGTACATGCATTGCACATATGTAACCCAAGAATAACTATAGTTAGATTGTTGAGTTAACAGAAAACTGTTATGAGAAATAAAACTGATAGTTTAAGATAGCATCTTGCAAGAGTCAGTGATTTTTCATAAGGAGCCACTTTGCATCAGCAGCTCCATGCTCCAGTGCTCTGGTAGAGTTTATAGTCCTGAGAGTTGAACACTGGATGATAACAGAAGTCACAGAAATCCTTCTCATCAAAAACATGACTTTGATCTGCGTCCTCATCTGGACTGTCCTCTGCTGCTGCTTCACAGGTAAAGTCCAGAGAATCAAACTCCTCTCCTCTATGAACATCTGTCCCTCTAAAATAAAGCCAACAAACCATGAGGCTGGTTTATGTTTTTGTCTCTGTGTCCTCAGAGTCCAGAGGTCAGGTCACATTGACTCAGCCTGCAGCAGTGAGAGCTGATCTGGGAGGATCTGTCAGCCTCCGATGTAGAGCCAGCCCGAATGTTTATTATTACAAATCACACCACTATTTAGGCTGGTATCAACAAAAAGATGGTCAAATTCCGAAGCTGCTCATTCTTCTAACTAGCTCTCGAGCATCAGGGACTCCAAGTCGTTTCACAGGCAGTGGATCAAACTCTGACTTCACTCTGACCATCAGTGGAGTTCAGGCAGAAGATTCTGCGGTTTACTACTGTAAGAGTGAACACTACATCAATGGCAATCACCGGTTCACACATTGAAAAACAGTTGTACAAAAACCTTCCTCAGTGTGACTCAACTGAAACTGAACTGCAGCTGCAAGACTGCTATTAATCCTTGAAGAATCAACTTAATGTGAAGTCATAAAATTATTACCAGATCTTCATTAGTGCATTCAATCAAGATAAAATAACATAAAAGAGTTTTTATTTTATTAACTTTTTTCAAACAAGTTGCTTTTTAAGCCAGGCTTTTCATTAATAGAAGATTGACCTATATATGATATCTAGAAATACTGGCAATAACATTTGAAATTCATAATCCCTGATTTAAGAAAAGTTTAAATGTCATTCTCATAAAATATTAAATATAAGTTAAATATTCTATAAAAATGTAAATTTACAACGATTGATATCAACCAACTTTGAGATAGACCCGATCTTTAATCCCATCACATATTCTTCCTAATTTTATTAAATCTCATGATTTTATTTTTTTTGATACTGAAATATCTTAAATAGATCAAAGCAAGCATAGAGTTAAATAAAATAGATATTTTTCCTCAACTAGCTGATTTGTCCTTACATGTTCGATGGTTGTCAGTGCTATTAAAAGGCTTATTGAGTGCAAATATGTAACAAAGAACTCAATTTGTGTCTCTGAGTCGATCAAGAATTATCAAGTTAAAAAGTTACTTGTAGAACAAATTCATTTAAAAAGTTGTCAATAATATACATATTAAGTTGAACTCATTTGCCAAAGTATAGATAGGCAATACAAAATGAGTTTTATATTTCTTCAACTGTAAAATGTAAAAGAACCACATGTCTGTGGAGAAATAATTTAAACATTTAATGATTACATTTAGACACAGAGATTAGTCACATCATCCTTAAATGTTAAGCATTGTTATTCACTATTTTGAATTGGGTTTCCTCTGTTTATGAAACAGAGTGATGAACCATTTTGACCCAGATGCAGTAAATCAATCAGGAGACCCAAATCAGTTCAACCCAGGTTCATTGAATGACAGTGTTTAGCTATAAGATTCACATCATGGGGACGGCTATCTGCAAGGACAAAAAAGGTTAGAGTGGTTCATGGAAAATCTGCTGTATCTACTTTTGTTGATAGATGTGATCTTACTCAACACATTGCAGTGGGGACCTGTCAAAGTCCAGTAGTGAGACAGTTAGGCCTATGCGATGGCCCAGATTCAGACAGAAGCAGGATCTATAACAGATATCAGCAGTTTAATCGCATGAATAAACATGATTTGATAGTTGCGTCAATTTTATAATATAAGTTAACAAAAAACAGGTATCAGACACAAATGACAGAAATAAAACTGATTCTTAAATAGAGTTATATTTTGGAGTCAGATTATTTTCTATAGAGCTATTTTGCATCAGCAGCTCCATGCTCCAGTGCTCTGGGAGAGTTTATAGTCCTGAGAGTTGAACTCTGGATGACTGACAGCTGTCCTTCATGAGAACAGAAGACACAGAAATCCTCCTCATCAAAAACATGACTTTGATCTGCGTCCTCATCTGGACTCTCCTCTGCTGCTGCTTCACAGGTAAAGTCCAAAGAATCAAACTCCTCTCCTCTATGAACATCTGTCCCTCTGAAATGAAAACGACAAACCATGAAGCTGCTTTACATTTTGTGTCCTCAGAGTCCAGAGGTCAGGTCACGGTGACTCAGCCTGCAGCAGTGACCGCTGATCTGGGAAGATCTGTCACCATCAACTGTAGGACCAGTCAGAAAGTTCTTTTTTACAAACCATACCACTATTTAGCCTGGTATCAACAGAAAAATGGTCAAATTCCAAAGCTGCTCATTATGGTTTCCAGCCTTCGAGCATCAGGGACTCCAAGTCGTTTTACAGGCAGTGGGTCAAACTCTGACTTCACTCTGACCATCAGTGGAGCTTTAGCAGAAGATTCTGCGGTTTACTACTGTAAGAGTGAACACCACATTAACAATCAGTATGTGTTCACACAGTGAAAAACAGTCATACTTATCAGTCATACTTACCAGTCATCACTTATTAATTTTCAAAAATCACAGAATGCGATGAGAATCTAGAATAACAGGCAATAAAATGTAATATTCGTCATCTCTTCATATAAAATATAGGTTCAATATTTAATTTAAGAAAATGAATAAAACAAAGAATAATCTCAACCAACTGATCATAAAACATTAATATTAACATGAAAAATCCTAGATTTCTTTTTGTTACAGCTGCAAAAGCCACCCCCCTGCTTTAAGCAGTGATTTTATGGGATTCTTTATAAATAAGAGATAAACCAATCATAATTAAATTAAATTAGCACCAAATCTCTGGAAAGTAAAGATCCAGTTCCAGGCAGATTATTTAAGGAGGAGTTCTCTCCATCTCCATTGTAGATGTGGTCAATATATCCCTGTTAGAGGGAGATGTGCCTCATGCTTTTAAGGTTGCTCTAATTAAATCTTTACTTAAGAAACAGTCTCTTGATCCAGATGACTTTCTGAGTTGTTTTTGAGTTAGAAAAAAAATTATACGATAATTGCTTATCCCGTTACAGTTCGTTATTATTGTATAAATGTTATGGAAAAATCAAAGCTAATTTTAGAGATCGAATATATCCTCTCCATGACAGTTGTGTGTGTATGCATGTACATGTACATATGCAGGGACGAGCACAGATAGACACTAAGTGGTACTAGAGAACCTACCCTTTTCTCATCTGGATTAAAAAAAGTTCTGTCCCGAAATCATTTTTTTTCTCTCTTTCTTTCTCTCTCCTCTTTTTTTTATCTTTAGCCCGAGAATACCATTTATTAATTTAAAAGCCTATCAAACTAACAGTCTAGATTTTTGTAATATTGCTGCACCAGACATTTACATAGCACCACTTCAATAGGGTGTTGACCTAGTTCAGGGCCAGCTAACCATCCAAGTAACTATAACTAATCCTTCACCAACCAGTTAGTTCATAGCATAACATCTTTAATGGCTTCTACCAAGTGCCAAGGATTCTTTAATAAATTAGATAAAAAATCATTTTAAGCATCTTATAAATGTAATTATTGATTAGCTATAATGGTCCCCATCAGGAACAGGGACAAGGAAGGCCTGATGACATCTATTTGCTCATGTCTTTTTTATAACAACTTCAGCACACCAGTTACGTTTGTCTAACATTTAATTTAAAAGCAAACATAATGCCAAATAATCAAAGTTCTTAAAAATAACTTTAACAAGGTTCTATTCGGTTAAAGTGGAACGTGTAGATGAAGTTGCATTTTCAATTTTTGTGTTTATTGACAGACATCCTGCACTGCAAAAAATGACCTGAAAATGTGTACAATTTTCTGAAAATAACTGTAAATCTTAGTTCATATGCAAATTGTCAGATATACGCACTTAAATCAACAGAAACTCAACTTAAAGATATTCTGGATTCCTGAGCTTTGCATTAGCTTCTCTTCTACTTCTATGTACCATGAAAAACTGCCCGTCAAACTTTGAGCAAGTGATGTCGGAGTCACCCAGAGCATATTTAGTTCATAGCATAACGTCTTTAATGGCTTCTACAAGGTGCCAAGGATTCTTTTATAAATTAGATAAAAAATAATTTGGAGTCACCCAGAGCATTTTCTTAGAACTACTTTGCATCAGCAGCTCCATGCTCCAGCACTCTGGGAGAGTTTATAGTCCTGAGAGTTGAACCCTGGATGACTGACAGCTGTCCTTCATGACAACAGAAGACACAGAAATCCAACTTATCTAAAACATGACTTTGATCTGTGTCCTCATCTGGACTCTCCTCTGCTGTTGCTTCACAGGTAAAGTCCAGAATCAGACTCCTCTGCTCTATGAACATCTGTCCCTCTGAAATAAAGCAGACAAACCATGAAGCTGTTTTATGTTTTTGTCTCTGTGTCCTCAGAGTCCAGAGGTGAGATCACAGTGACTCAGCCTGCAGCAGTAAGAGCTGATCTGGGAGGATCTGTTACCATCAGATGTAGGACCAATCATAATGTTTACGTTTACAACAGCAAGCATATTTCAGCCTGGTATCAGCAGAAAGATGGACAACCTCTTAAGCGTCTTATGCATGCCGCTAGCTCTCGAGATTCATGGACTCCAAGTTATTTTACAGGAAGTGGATCAAACTCTGACTTCACTCTGACCATCAATGGAGTTCAAGTTGAAGATGCTGCAGTTTATTACTGTCAGACGTTTCATTCCATGAACAGTAAAGATCTGTCCACACAGTGAAAAACCCTCGTACAAAAACCTCCCCCTATCAGACTAAAGTGAAACCAAACTACAACGGATTCTGTTCAGTGAACCAATAGAAACACACATACCAGCTTAAAAAAAAATAAACATGAAAAAGTGGTTGTAAAAAAAATGAAAATGAAAAATGTGTTCAAAAGGATTTTTTTTTTTTATTGCAGATTTTTATTTTGAACTTGCTGATTTTTTTTTTTTTTTTCAACTTCAAACTTATCGCCCTGATTTTATGTGGGAGGTGGAACCTCAAATGACAAAGAGAACAAAAAAAAGGGAAAGAGTAGAAAACATTTCGATAAAAAATCTAACATGTTGATTAACTGCTTGAAAATTTTGGATTTCCAGAATCCAAAAGCTAGGCTGCTGTAGCGATACAGTACTTGGAAGATCTGTCACCACTGTAGGACTAAGTCAAGTGTGTTGGTACATACATCCCTATAACTTGGTATCAACAGAAAGATGGATAACCTCCTAAGATGCTGATTAACCGTGCTAACTAACGAGGTTCAGGGATTCCATGTCATTTTACAGGCAGCGGATCAAGCTCTGAATTCACTCTGATCATCAGTGCAGCTCAGGCAGAAGATGCTGCAGTTTACTTCTGTATAGGTAGGTGAATTTTATAGAAGCAAGTAAATCATGTAACCACTGTGAAAAATCCATAACCTATCAAAAAACCTACACTAAAATAAATTAAATCTAAACACGTTGCTGCCTCTTAGTTCTGCTACAGAGATAGATGCTGTTCAGTAGAAAAAACAGGAACAAGAACCACAATGAGCCAAAAGAGGATTCCAACAAATTAAATTCAGGGACTCCTTAAAAAGTTTTTTTGTGGAAAAATGCAAATGCATTAATTTACCAGGTAAAGATAAAACTCTGTAACAACAAAAAACCCTTGTGACAAAAACATTTACACAGGTCTATGGATAGTGTTATAGTCAGAGTTACTGATCAGTATTAAAAAATTAGTGATTTATGTTCTCTTCTCATTTCCTATTATATTAACACATGAAACTCCAAATAATTCAGATTTAGTGACTCTCAATATTTACATGTTCATATATGACAGAACAAGTTGTAATGTTGTAATTTAGTTCTGGAGCTGGGGCCTTCCACAATGGCTCTTTATAACTGTGACTTAAACTACTACAAAGTAAAAGTACTATGAATATCAAATGTATTTTTTTCTATAAATAAGTAGTATTTTCAATTCAATTATAACTAATTTCCAATTACTTATTAAGGCATATTTTTCCAAAAAGAATATTTTCTAAAGGGAAATCATGCATTTTTGACACTATGCGCTATTTATCCAGACTGAGGGAACAGTAGCTGTTGGAATAGTAATGAGTTAATGTTGCTATCATGAAAAAAAGCAACAAAAAAACTGTTCTTATTGTAGATGCAGAAGGATGACTGGCTGAATTGTTTATGCAACTACTTACATCAGCATAATAATTTAAGAACTGTGTTTGTCAGGTCTTTGCTGTGGTAATACCACTATTCATGTTGAAATAAATACTATTACATTTTCTCTGGATAGACATGGATGCAAAATGGTAAAGGAACTAAACTGATTGATTCATTGATAAATAATATATTTAAACACGTACAAATCCATGTTTAACTCATTTAGAATATTTCCATAGAGCTTCACTTTGCATCAGCAGCTCCATGCTCCAGTGCTCTTGAAGACTTTATAGTCCTGAGAGTTGAATGCTGGATGACAACAGAAGACATCCTCCTCATCAAAAATATGACTTTGATCTGCGTCCTCATCTGGACTCTCCTCTGCTGCTGCTTCACAGGTAAAGTCCAGAGAATCAAACTCCTCTCCTCTATGAACATCTGTTCCTCTGAAATGAAGCAGACAAACCATGAAGCTGCTTTATGTTTTTGTCTCTCTGTCCTCAGAGTCCAGAGGTCAAGTCACAGTGATTCAGCCTGCAGCAGTAAGAGCTGATCTGGGAGGATCTGTCAGCATCAGATGTAGAACCAGTCAGAATGTTTGGGTCTGGAGCAGCTACCACCATTTAGCTTGGTATCAACAGAAAAGTGGTCAAAATCCTAAGCTGCTCATTTATTACGCTAGCTCTCGAGCATCAGGGACAACAAGTCGTTTTACAGGCAGTGGATCAAACTCTGACTTCACTCTGACCATCAGTGCAGCTCAGGCTGAAGATGCTGCAGTTTATTACTGTCAGAGTGCTCATCTCATCAACAGTCAACGCCGGTTCACACAGTGAAAAACTCTGGTACAAAAACTTCCCTTTGTCGACTGAACTGAAACTGATGCAAGGGATTTAACTGGTAGCTGCTAGAGAGACGACGAAGGGACAGAGAACTATTATCAAGCAAATTAAGTAACTGCAGTCAGTTGTTCATGCTTTAGTACTTTTTTTTCTAATCAAAAAACTTTACATTTTTGTAATTATGAATTCAATTCTGTATTAGAATATAGAACACATCTACTGTTGCACTAGAAAAAAGATCAATGTGGGTAGCACTGCTGCCTTGCAGCAAGAAGGTTCTGGATTCAATTCCTGGCCCAGGGTCTTTCTGCATGGAGTTTGCATGTTCTCCCTGTGCATGCTTGGGTTCCCTGTGCATGCTCTGGGTACTCTGGTTTCCTCCCACAGTCAAAAATCATGACTGTTTATGAGGTTTATTGGCTCCTCTAAATAGTCTCTAAAGTCCCCTTGTGTGTGTGTGTGTGTGTGTGTGTGTGTGCGCGTGTGTGTGTGAGTGTGTGTGTGTGTTGCCCTGCGATGGACTGGCAACCTGTCCAAGGTGTACCCTGCCTCACGCCCATATGGCGATAGGCACCAGCACCCCTCGCGACCCCACTTGGAATAAGCGTGTAAGAAAATGGATGGATGGAAAAACTTTAAGAACAAATATTCACGCCTGTACATTTTCAGACAAAGCAGCACTGTGAAAGAAATGTTTCTAGCAATAAAATGATAATATTTCAATTTCAAAGTGATAAATTAAATATATTTTCTGATAATCCACAGTTGCAATCTCCATTCCATTTTATTCTATCCAAACACGATATATAAGTAATTTTACTTTGAAGAAGTATAACTTTTGGGGGATTTCAGAACCGATTTCAAAGAAGAGTCATTATATAGCTCTTATGGATCTTATGTGGATTGTTTTGAGACAATCTAACTAAAGTAATTTTACTTTCATCCTAAAAGAAATAGAAACATCTCCAGTAGTATGAAAGGTAGGCCATTTCTTTCTCAGTCCAACAGAAATGACTGTCACAATCATGTCCTTCTATAACTAGTAGTTTAAGACAGAGCAGAGAAATCTTCTCTTGGAATGTTTATTGTTCATCCATTATCCCAAAAATATCTCAAATATGTTTAATCAGGTATTGCTTTCTCCATCTCCTTTGATAATATAAAATTGATTGTCCAACCCTTGTTAATATGGATGGTGCAGCAGAAGCCTCCAATTCAAACTCATCCGCATACTACTAGAGCTTCAGACTATTCTCTTGAAACAAAATGCCATGTTAACTAAATTTTTTCAGACACGAGGGGTCTTTACGGTCAGATGTACCAATTAGTCTTTGGACATTATTTGCTATCTTGTTCATGGTGTAATTTGAGGAGCTGTATAACCATAAATCCTTGGAGGCTCACAGTATATTTACAAATGGTGGAGTGCAAGAATTACATTCATTTCAACCAGAAGGAAGAAAAAACACTGTTGTCACAGCAAATGTGTGCTGCAAGTTAAATTATTTGATTTTCTACTTTACCTCAGATTTTTTAAGATATTAAATATATCACTAAACAATCAGACAAAAGGGTTGTAGCTAACCAATCAACTGGACATTGTGATCATTGATAAGCAATACAAGATCATAATGTGATGGAAGCATCAGGAAAAAAGAACATAAAAAAATTGTTGAAAAACCAAAGGCTCGGAAAAAACTAGAAAGAGCCTGGCAGGTGAAAGCAACTGCTTAACAATTAAATAAATCCTAGATCTTTACAATCCATACAGGAAACCTCAACGTTATCTAAACCCAAAAGCATTAATTACAGGTAGGGAAGTAATGAGGACCTTTTTTTAGAGAGAGATCAAAAATCTGTCCTGGTTCCTAAAAAGGTTCCTCTTTCTAGTTCTTCTTAATTTAAGAACATTTTAACCTGTTTTTTTTTTAAGAGACCTGAGCATCTTACCTCATCTCTTCAAGCAACTGTCACCATAATGGTCATATTTGTATTAATAACCACCACATTGATTCTGCAGGTCTCACTTTTCCAAAAATAAAAAATAAAAATCACTTTTTTCATGAGAGTTTAACAGCACTACAGCAATGTTGCTCCGTAAAGTTTCAGAGACCACCTGCTGTTATGCTCCTTAAACGCTGTAGATCTGCAGTTAGGGTTCCCCACAACAAGCTTTTTGTTCCTAAAAGTATATCAACTGGAAAAACTACTTTTAATTCAAAAAGAGGAGTTAGCTTGCAAATTTAACCTTAATAGAATGACTTATTGGAAAATATTCATGTTTTCAGATTTTGAGAATTTATTGTGTTCTGGCTTTTAAATGTGATCCAATTAGCCTTTATGTCATACGGGGACAAAAGTAGCAGTTTATAGGACATACATATAGGTGCTACAAACCAAAGTTAATAGTGACAGTAAGTCTCATGCTGCTTTATACTTATTTATTTTCATTTATTTTTAGGCTCTAGAGGCCTTTGTTTTATCAGTTTTGAAAGTAGGCAGACAGAAAATGGGATTAGAGAGAGGGGGAAGACATGCGGCAAAGGTCAAAAGGGCGCTTACTCCAACCTATGACGGCATCATCAACGACCAAACCCTCTGAACATGGATTATCCGCACCCCAATGCTGCCTTGTTTTAATAAAGGGGTTTTAAAATGCATCAGGTAAAAAAGGATTTTGAAACGTAGACTGGGCCAATTTTAATAACTTAAACATCATTCTCCAACTGTTTTTTGAATTGTGACAAATATGTAGTGTAAATGTGTTCTTATGTTTAAGCAGCAGATTATACTTATTATCAGTTCACCTTTTTCAATTTCCTTGTTTTAAATGGTTGAACAAACATTTATGACAAAATCGGAAACCATAAACTTCATAAACTTCATAAACTGGGAACACTGGTCACTCCTCAGTGTTTCTTCCACCGCTGGTCTGCATGGAGCCTCAGCGTGCTGCTCCAGTTGTAGATCTGAGTCCTCTGCAGCACTCATCAAATCCTTCTGCTGCTGCTGCCGTCCACCTTCCAGGACAGACTCCAGTGTGTCTCCAGTTTCACTTAGGAGACACCTACACGCTTAGAGAACAGAAGATACAGAGATTTTAAACAGCAGAAACTGTGGAATGGTTACTGTTAGGAAGGCATTTTCCATAATGAGAAGTTTCTACCAGATGTCTTCATGCTCCACTAGTCTATCACTGACACATTGTTTCACTTCCCACTGAGAGACTCAGATTTAAACCACTAAACAAAGAAACTTATCATATTCATGACCAGATATTTTACCTGACATTTACTTTAAGAAGCAACGTTTGATGTAATTTGCATATAAATGTTGTACTTCAGCTTCTATCTATTTCAATATTGTGAGAAATAAAATATTTTCAAAGTACTTCTGCCTTTGAAAGAAAAAGAGTAAAAGTAATTTGAATTTCACATTTAATTGAAGTTAACTTACTTCCAACATCCTGTTTGATTCTTCCTCCAAATTAGTAGAATAACCACTTGACTATGGAGATTTAATACTTTTTATTTTAAAAATATATCTATTTAGAATATATGTTCTGTATTCCTGTGCATTTTTCATCTAGAAAAGTAGAAATATCAACATTAAGGTTTTTAATAGCATCAACTCGGACACCTGCTGGTGTGTCTCGCACAAGGTTCAGCCAATCAAGGATGGACCACCACCCCCTCCGTAAGCCATAATTAAAGGCGCTCCTCATTAAGAAGGCCAGCTTCACATTCACTTCATCAGCTGAACATTCACCCATCTCCTCCCTCAGTCTTAGACGCTCTCATCCTCCAGCTTACTCCACCTCACTTTGGGGAGTGTTGGCCTAGTGGTTAGAGCAGTGAGCTTGTGCTCTGGGAAGGTTGCCAATACCTAGTTTGACCCCACAGACTCTACTCTGGGTCCCTGAGCAAGACCCTTTCCCCTGATTGCTTCCTGGGTGCTGCACAGTGGCAGCCCAGAGCTCCACAAGGGGATGGGTCAAATGCAGAGAGTTAATCTCTCCATTGTGAGATAAATAAAGTTCCTTGGCAAGACACTTCACCCACATTGGGCCTGCGATGTACTGCTGCCCTAGGTCAGCTGTACATAGCTACAATGTAGCTTACCACCTTCAGCGTGTGAGTGTGTTTGTGTGTGTGAATGACTGAATGTAGTGTAAAGCGCTTTGATCAAGTCCTCTGACTTAAAAAAGCACTATATAAGTACAGGCCAAATAACCTGAGGACCATGGTAGCACAAGGACTGTGCTAGACAGATTCATTGAGAGTTTAGGTAGGCTAGTAATGTGTGTGAATTTGTTACATCCCTGATCCAGTTACAGGCTTGCGATCTGAGCCTCACGCCTGAGCATCTTATTTTCCCTCAGTGTTACTTGGCTGTGAGTGGAAATTAGCAAATGAAGTAAAGCTGTTTTCTGTAAGAAAATGCTTTGTATTTGCGATCTGGACAAACACACAGAACTTCATACTGCTTTTCTTTTATCCCATTAGCAAGACACTAAAACGGTGAAGCCTATACAGATAGGGTGATGAATACTCACTGTTAACCCTGAGAAAAGAAACAGCCCCTTAAGCTCTGGGTAACCATTTTTAAAATAAGGTCCATATTAAAAAGGTTCCACACCCAAAGACTCCAAAAAAGAGGTATGCAAAAAATATTCTGATTCATAAGACCATGGATTGCTTACATACAAGACCAAGCAATTTTCCTTTATAAGTTATAACTGTTCCTCAAAGTTAGCTTGTATTTCACCTTAATGTTGCCCAATGCAACTCACAGTTAGTCTGAATTTCTTGATGAAACGCTCCAATATCCAAATGTTACACAACTTATGATGACAGTCACACATACACATAATGATTTAGTAGTTATTCTTTGTCATCATTGTTTTATTTTAATTTACTAAGATGGAAATTTTATTTATATATTTCTTGTTTTGTAACATTATTATAAAATTATATATTTTTTATTGAAATAAACAACAGCAGTTTTTTAATTAATCTCTATTTATTGCTTCTACTCCTTATTTATCCCAACATTACAATTCAGAGAGGAATTATGGGCATAAAAATATTTTTTTATACTTGGATTATAGCAAAATATGTTTGTACTGCTTAGTGAAATATGACTTAAACTTTTTAAATAAAAACCTTTTTAATGTTTAGATTAAATTCTGAAGCAGTATTTAAGTTATATTTGTTTCTGTTTTTTTTTCAATGACACAGAGTTCTGTGATAAGATTCTTTATTGAGCTCATGAAATCAAGAAAACATTTATGTTGAGAAATGCAGCCTTAATATAACTTCTAGATTAAAGTAATAAAAAACGAGAAGTAAAATTAAAGAATACAGACAAGGCAGTAGCAAGTAAACATTAATAACTGAACATTTTCAGTACTGGGAGCACTGGTCTCTCCTCAGTGTCTCTGTGACTGCAGACTGGGAGCCCTGGGTGGCCTCACAGGTCACAGAGCCCACCTTTCTCCATTGGTCTGCAGGGAGCCTCAGGGTGCTGCTCCAGCTGTAGAGGCCGTCTTTCTGCAGCACTCCTCGGCTGTTGTTCTCCTCCCAGCTGCTGCTGCTGCTGCTGCTGCCGTCCACCTTCCAGGACAGACTCCAGTCTGAGGGGAAGCCCTTGTTTGCCAGACACATGAGGGTGGCCTTCCCCTGCTGCAGCTCCTCACTGGAGGGGGGCAGCACTGTCACGATGGGACGTATATTAACTGGGAGACACCGAGTTGATAAGAGAACAGAAACTACAGAGACTGACCCGCAGAAACTGTGACATGGTTACAGCTAGGAGGTGATTTCCTATAATACGATGTTTCTGCCAGATGTCTTCATGCTCCACTCCTCTCTCTCAGACTTGTTGTTTCATTTCCCTTTAAGGGATTCAGATCCCCAAAGATAGAATTGTTTTTTATTTTCTATTTTAGTATTCTTTAATTTATTGAAGGAAATAAAAAAAAAAAACGTATGCGTCTTATATTAAAAAGAAACAGTGTTAATTTCTGAGGTGAAAAAGAAAATCGTTTTGGAGATTTAGTAGATATTGATTAAAGTTTTGAGTTTGAAATACTACAGAATCCACAGAGTGGTTTAAAGCTGGCAGCAAAGCATTGAACACATAAATAATAATGAATAAATAATAATAATAATAATTGATAAATTATCAAAGCACAGTCCAAGCATTTATCATTTAAAAATTTGAAAAAGTATAACATTTGAAAAAAAAAATATCTGATATAATTTCATATGCATTACTTATTTTCATTTTGTGTGAATCTGTTTGTTCCAACAAAGTAGTCTATGCTAAATAAAAAAATCAACTCTTTAAGGAAATAGAAAAACATTTGTAATGCTAACTAGATATTTTAGAAGTTGATATAAATTATAAAGTAAACTTACTTCCAAACTCCAGTCTCGTTCCTCCACCAAACGTCCACCACAGTGATACAAACTCATTGAGCCGTCGTACAAAAACCTCTGACAGTAGAGACACGGCTCTCTGACTATGACTAGACTACACCTACAAGTTAAAAAAGAACAACTAAACTAATATTAATCACTTTTATACTCTGAAGTTTTTAATACCTTATAATTTACAATATTTCGGTCTTATTTCAATTTCATCATACATCAACAGCATTAAAATTAATTACTAATATTTTTATTTGTGTGTCATTTTTTTTAGGTATCTGAAAACATCCATGTGCATTACGGCCAAAGTTGTTTTGGCAAACCCACTAAAATATTAGTATGATAATGTTGGTGTTTACGGTAAGATACATAAAACACCAGAGTTGAGGATTTGCCAAAAGGTTATCTTTATGAACCTGAGTACACTGATGAAGAACTTCTTCAACTGGAAAATTACCTGTTAGAGAGAGGGGAGGGAAATAACAAGGACAGCATCTTAAAAGTGTTCAGCATCTTTATGCTTTGATTTGAATTTTACTGTTTAAAAAAGGTTCTTTGATTTTCTAGATTAGAATGCTGTGTGAATGTAATTCTCCAAGACTCTCCAGGGGATACCTGCAGAATTTATTCCATGTTTTTCTTGAAACTTATCTGGTTACTTTTCAGTTTTAGGGTATTTAATCGAAAGTAAGTTGAAATAAAGTTTTCTATGTGCACCTTAGCTCAGGATTTATTTATTTTTTTAGTTTATTTCTGTAATATTGTTTGTAATAAGTTATATGACTGTAATTTGTGTTTTTGTTGAATGGTTGAGGACCTAGTAGTGACTTCAAGAGTGCTACAGTATCACATGAAGAGGCAGGGATTACAGGGATTATAGGTCCTAGAGGGATTGTGTTTAATAATCTCTTTTCTTGATCAACTTTAACAGACTAAAGTGATACATTTCCATTATCGCATAACATTGCTTTGAAAAATTTGCAATCTTAAGCATTTGTTTTTAAAGTATTTGCATTATCTATTTCATATTTCTATATGCATTTGATGCGTTCCAGAAGTGTTCTAGATGCGAATACAGAATACAATACATAGATACTAAACATTTTTTGTTTCTTAATTGTCAGTAAAGATAAAGTACTAAAGCAAATTCTGCTGAATGGAGTTATCTTATTTGCTTGATAATAGTTCTGTCTCCCTTCGTCGTCTCTCTAGCAGCTACCAGTTACATCCCTTGCATCAGCTTCAGTTCAGTCTGACAAAGGGATGTTTTTGTACGACAGCTTTTCACTGTGTGAACAGATGCTGACTGTTGATGTAATGTTTACTCTGACAGTAGTAAACTGCAGCATCTTCAGCCTGAACTCCACTGATGGTCAGAGTGAAGTCAGAGTTTGATCCACTGCCTGTAAAACGACTTGTTGTCCCTGATGCTCGAGAGCTAGCATAATAAATGAGCAGCTTAGGAGATTGACCATCCTTCTGTTGATACCAGGCTAAAAGGTGGTAGCTGCTCCAGACATGAACATTCTGACTTGTTCTGCAACTGATGCTGACAGATCCTCCCAGATCAGCTCTCACTGCTAAAGGCTGATTCACTGTGATCTGACCTCTGGACTCTGAGGAAAAAGAGACAAAAACATAAAGCAGCTTCATGGTTAGTCGGCTTCATTTCAGAGGGACAGATGTTCATAGAGGAGAGGAGTTTGATTCTCTGGACTTTACCTGTGAAGCAGCAGCAGAGGACAGTCCAGATGAGGACGCAGATCAAAGTCATGTTTTTGATGAGGAGGATTTCTGTGTCTTCTGTTGTCATGAAGGACAGCTGTCAGTCATCCAGTCTTCAACTCTCAGGACTATAAACTCTACAAGAGCACTGGAGCATGAAGCTGCTGATGCAAAATGGCTCTATGGAAATGCCATTTAATATGTTTCATAAAAGTTTTACTTTACTTATATTGTAAAATAGAGACAAATATCTATAATATTTCATGGGACTAATTCTGTTAAGCTGTAAATCTGTATTAAAATCATTAAGGGTTAAGATTTGGCATAGAACATAACTGTTTAAAGACTTGTGCTTTTAAATATTTTTGTATTCAAACATGTACTCTTTCACTTAATGATTACCCATCCATCCATTTTCTCACACACTTTATCCCAATTGGGGTCGCAAGGGGGGCTGGTGCCTATCTCCAGCTGTCTATGGGCGAGAGGAAAGGTACACCCTGGACAGGTCGCCAGTCCATCGCAGGGCAACACAGAGAAAAACAGGACAAACAACTAAACACTCACACCTAAAGAGAATTTAGAGAAGCTAATTAACCTAACAGTCATAGGAGGAAGCTGGAATACCTGGAGAGAACCCAAGCATGCACAGGGAGAACATGCAAACTTCATGCAGAAAGACCCTGGGCTGGGAATCGAACCCTAACCTTCTTGCTACCAGGAAGTAGTGCTACCCACTGACCATCTAGCAGCCCCTTAATTGTTGATTATAATGACTTGTCAGCCTCAGCATATTGGCCATTAACACTAAATCTGCTTCTGCTAGAGGTTTCTTATTGTTAAAAGTGAGTCTTTCCTCTCCACTGTCAGCACAAACATGCCTAGTGTGTGGGATTGCCTTTGAGTCCTTGTCCTTGCAATCAACTGGTTTTCCTTAGATAGAAAACCTTGAATCAATTTGACTGTATGATCTGGTTGAACTGTAAAGTGCATTGAGATGACGTGTTGAATTTGAGCTATATAAATAAACAAGACTGAATTGAATTTACTGTTTCTACTCCTTATTTATGCCAACATTACCACTTAGGGAGGAAAAATATATACCGGTATATATATTTTTTTTATTATTGATATACAGATTTCCACAATATAGGTTAGTGCTGATCAATGAAATACGACTTAAATTTTTTTATTAAATCATTTTCTAACCTTAATAAAAAATTAAAAGCAATGTTTCTAATTATTTCGATTGATATTTTTTTCAATGACGCATACAGTTCTGTTATAAGATTCTTTATTGAGCTTTTGAAAAAAAAAAATCATTTATGTTGAGAAATGCAGTCTTAACAGAATTAATAAGTAAAAGTAATAAAAAAACTGAAAGAGTGCACAGAAAATGCATTAGCTGAGAAACATACATTCATGAGTGAACAAGCTCAGTACTGGGAGCACTGGTCTCTCCTCAGTGTCTCTGTGACTGCAGACTGGGAGCCCTGGGTGGCCTCACAGGTCACAGAGCCCACCTTTCTCCACTGGTCTGCAGGGAGCCTCAGGGTGCTGCTCCAGCTGTAGAAGCCGTCCTTCTGCATAACTCCTCTGCTCTTGTTCTCCTCCCAGGTGAAGGTGTTAATGCTGCCCTCCACCTTCCAGGACAGACTCCAGTCTGAGGGGAAGCCCTTGTTGGCCAGACACACGAGGGTGGCCTTCCCCTGCTGCAGATCCTCACTGGAGGGGGGCAGCACTGTCAGGGTGGGACGGGTATTTTCCACTATATAGAACAAAAATACATTTGAGAGGGGTGATTAAAGGGCTTGAAATTTCATTTCCCGCTCTGTTTTCTGTATCCATGGTAACATATCTGCATCACTGCTCAACCTTAGCAACAGACAAGTTTCAGTACCACACATAAAAACTGAAATTTCTTCTTAAAGTTTTCCATTTATTTCTTATTAATTAAACTGCAGCATCTTGTAAATCTAAATAGCTTTTCTAAAACAATTTTTTTAAATATTTTTTGAAGTTGCATTGACAAGATATTTCCTGATATCTGGATATCGCATACTAATAAAATTTTCACAATAATCCTTTTTTTTGTAATGTCAATACACCATTTAAAAAATGAAAATATAGACATTTTTATATCAAAAATCATCATCAGAACCTCAGAGAAAATACGTATGAGCCAAAGACTACACACATAGTGACTTCGATATTATGGGTTTACATATATCCTACTCTGCTTACAGAAATAAATGACGTAGTATATTGAGACAATTTTCAAAGCTTATTCAATGAATGTTACTTTAAAAACAAACAAACAAATAAAAACAGATAGCAGCCTTTTTCACATCACTACTCACTAACTTATTACATTTTCTAAAACTAACTAAAGCTAAAGAGAAAACATTTTCTTGTCAAAATAAAGAATAAAAAAAACTGTAAATTTCGAAAAAGAGAACGTTTAGTTGCATTACGTTAGTTTTACTTACAGTTAACATCCAGCCTGGTTCCTCCACCAAAAGTCCACCACAGTGATATAAACTCATTGAGCCGTCGTACAAAAACCTCTGACTGTAGAAAGGAACGGATCACTGATCCTACAAGACTTTAAAATATAAACATAATCAACTGACTGCCTAACATAATAAATAACACCTCCCCTAAAAACACGTTAATTTTCATCTGGTTTTATTTGTTTTGGTTTCTTGAATTTTACTAGTCAAAGGCAGATAAGTCTTTTATTTTATGTTTAATTTTTTTGAAAAACTACATGTTCATTACCACCGAAGTTGTTTTGGCAAACCCTGTCAAATATTAGTATAGTGCTAATTATATAAAAAAAAAGATAAAACACCAGAGTTCCATCCATCCATCCATCCATCCATCCATCCATCCATCCATCCATCCATCCACTTGCTCTACCAGGTCATGGGAGTGTTGGTTTCTGTCTCCAGCAGTCTATGGGTAAAAGGTGGCGTGTCCACCCTGGACAGTTGGCCATCAATCACAGGGGAACAGTTCTTTTTTTCTAACGCAAAATATTATTATGATGACAATTTTTATATAAGAACAGTTATTCAGAAATCTAGATATTAAATATTACAGGCAAATGTTTAAGACTTTTAAAACTTATTCAGTTTTCATCAAACTGTTTACACAGGCGTCTGTGTAGTACCCTTGTTTCTGTCAGCGAGCCCCGGGTTACCTGTGGCTACAGCGTAGCTTATCAACATCAGTGTGTGAGTTAATAGGTGAATGACTTGCATTCATCAAAAAGGTTTGGAAATTTTATTTAGTCCTGCGATGTCTTCAAAAGGAAGAAGATTAAAAGTGGATCAAGTTTGGGAAGGAAGTTCTTTTGAATATTCTACACAAGGAAGGGACGCAGCAACAGGGGGCACAATAGTGTGAAAATAGTTGAACAGCACTTTGAGAATCTCTCTTGTTAGATGGTATAAGTGTAGCTAAATATTTACACCTCTCCTCCCCGATAGTCTCACTTAAGGAAGAAATTGAGTCTCTACGGTAAAGTCTGTAAAATTCTAGCTTGAAATATTTTCAGAGCAGCTCAATTTTCTGACAGAATCAAAGAGAGATTTTAAACTATTTTTTATTCATATTTTTTCAGCCACTGACATTGTTTATCATAGTTTTTAATACCTTGCAGGAAGTTTAACAACAGCAACATGTTGCTTGTAGTGTTTCTATAATCAAATTTAGCAGAAGGAATTATTTAAATAACTATATTTTTTGTCATATTTGTGAAAACAGCTTTTCCTTTATACGTTTATGCATGTTTTTTTTTTTGTTTTTTTTTTATATAACATTGCAATGTAATTTAAGCAAATTTATTAAACATCCTCACCTTGCACTAAAAGCAAATTGGGGGCTTTTAGCATTTCGGTACAAAAACATTTTTTCAGTCCTTTATAGAAGGAAAAAGATTTGCAGAAAATCAATTAAAGTAGAACATCATGTCATAGTCTCTATGAGACTGACTCTGTGTGTTTGCATAATTGTCCTGCCTCCCTGCTCCTAGCTTTTAAGAGGTCAGTGTTGATAAGAGGCTGTCCAGGTCCTTCAGAGACACTGAAACACCAGCAACATGATGATGATGCTACTGACTCTACTGCTGACCATCCTGGTGCTCCTGGTTCAGGGTGAGACTCTTCGCTTAAAGCTTGGCTTTAGGATCTAAACAGGTTCATAACAGTGAAAAAGAAGGAGGGGAACCATCCTTTTTACATGTAGATACTGACCATATTTCTTTGATTGGGATTCATCTCACTAACTATTTTTCTTCATGTTTTTAGTTTCCTCAGCAGAAATCACCCTGATTCAGACTCCAGAATCTCAGGCTGTCGTTCCAGGACAGACTGTCTCCATCAAATGTAAAGCCAGTGCGGCTGTTGATGATGATTTGCACTGGTACCTTCAGAAACCTGGAGAAGCTCCTAAGCTCCTAATTTATTCAGTTTCCACAAGAGCGACTGGAGTTTCTGATCGGTTCAGTGGAAGTGGATATGATATTGATTTTACTCTGACCATCAGCAGAGTTCAAGCTGAAGATGCAGGAGTTTATTACTGTCAACATGATGAGAACTTCCCACTCACACAGTGATACAACGTCGTACAAAAACCTCAGAGCGGTAGAGGAACTGATACACAGCTGGACTGAAACACAAATTGAACAAAAACTGAATAAGAAAGCAGTGTAGTACAAACCTTGTGCTTTATTACTATTATTATTATTCCTTCATCATATCATAACAATACATAAGTGAAAAAGTACAAATTGGAAAAAAACAAAGGTTAAAAATACGTTAAAATAGTTACAATATCTACACCAAATATTAAACTTCAATGATTTATTATAGATCTCAGCCAATGTTTGTGTCTTTTTTGGGACATTAGTTAACAGATTTTTTTTAAACAGCTGTATAAACATTTTGCACTTTAAGCATTGTAAATATTGGGCAAAGTTATTTCGATAATTTTTCTAGTTTATATTTTTTATAATAAAGCAAAATGGAAGTTTAACATTTAATATATAGGTAACAAAAATAATGAAATATTCGTTGAGGTTAAAAAAAAAAACAATATTATATTCATTAGTTCCATGTATAAGTTATTGTATAGAGGTTGTACATGTGAAAACCAACAATATACATCTCTTATACAAAAAAGCTTTGAGAATGTTATATAAAGTGAATGTTAGAGAACAAGATAATAAATTACTTGATCTAATTAATTATTTTGAAGCCAAGTGACTTTGTTAATTTAAAGATTACATTATGTTTTACGTTCTATATACTTGTCTTCTCCAGTTTTACTTTGTGAACCTATAATAATTGCTATATCTAAACATAAATTGTGACAAAATACGATTATAAAAAGTTAACTTTGGTGAAAAAAGGTTTGTAAATACAGTATGAGTTAACTTCTGTTTAAAAAAAATTGTTTATACAGTTCAAATCTGTCTACCAACATGCACTTCAGTGATGAAAACTTGTTTTGTTACAAATATTTTTTCTATATTCTTTTGTTAAAAGATGTGAAATCTACAAAGAGTTTATAGATCATATTTTTTGTGACCATTGATATTTTTTCACTTGAAGAGAATTGATCAGGAGGATCCCTTATCAGATATAACCTAGAGAGCTATTGTGGGGGTAACAATCAGGGTGGTGGAGAATGGAGAAAGAAATCAGTTGGATGATAAAAGCTCTTTATCGGTGCAGAAACTTCCTGTATTTATAAAAAGCTTAAAGCTCACTTTATCAGCTAAGAAGAAAATATTATATATTATATATAATATATTTAGTAAGTACACCACCCAGCAGAAATGCAATAATGTGATTCAATACATTCCTGTGTTTTTATTTAGGTTTTATTTTATTGTAGGCCTTTCAGATTCTAACCCCCTCATTGTAGTTGTAGATGTTGAAAAACTGTGATTTTAATTTTCTTGTACACCTTTTTTAAAATGTTAATTATAACCCAGAGTTTTCCTCAGATATGAATTAATGTTGGGACACATGGCTTGCACAAAGTCACTTTTATGTTATCACATCAAGAAACTTAATTTATCTTGAACTCTTGTGGCCTTTGTCGGCGAAAGGGAAGTACTTGCTATCTTGAAACTAAATAAGAAGTTATTAAGTTGGTGTAAATATCCTTGAAATGCCAGAAGAAGAAAAAAACACCTTAGATAACTTGGAGCCTCAAGCAAGACGAAATGCCTTCAAGATCATTTATTACAGCTGAGTTTCATCAAGCATCAAGTTTTCTAAGTTTATTTTAGTGGAGCTTTATTCCCGCTGGGCCTGTTGAAGTAGAAATCAAACAGTTAACCAAACTAAGTGGATTCACAAGATTGTGTCTTAATATTATCAGTGATCATATTAGAAATATAAATTATATAAATATAAAAAAAGAAACCTGCCTCTTCTCTCCATACTATGTCTCAAGTCACTCGCCAAAGGAGCTCAAAGGCAAAAGCAATGGGATTTAGCAGTGGAGCTAGTTGACAGATGCTTTTTGTATCTCTGCTTTTTTTCTGCATCTATCAGGAGATGGAGATGGGGACCAATAGGACCTCCCTCATCCTTGGCCCTATCTCAAAGAATTTTTTGAAATAGTCGAAAAAATTAGCTTTCAATTCATATAGTGGCATCTGGCTGTTTTTTTTAAAGGTTACTTTATACTTTTATAATTTAAGTAGTTTTTGGAGCACATACTTTTTCACTTTTACTTGAGGAAAGAGGTCAATTTGATACTTCAACTTTTATCAGAGTGTTTTTAAACTGCAGTATCTACTTCGACTTAAGTAACAGATGTGTGTACATTTGACACCACTGGTAACAAGTTATATGACTGTAATCTGTGTTTTTTGTTTTTCGCATCACCTGTTGAATGGTTGAGGACCTAGTAGTGACTTCAGTAGAGCTATAGCATTACATGAAGAGGCAGGGGTTACAGGGATTACAGGGATTATAGGTCCTAGAGGGATTGTGTTTAATAATCTCTTTTCTAGATCATCTTTAAGTGATTAAAGTGATACATTTACACTATTGCCAGAAACATGTCTTGCATAGCATTTTTTTGTTTGAAAATTTGCAATGTTAAATATTTGTTTTTAAAGTATTTGCATAATTTATTTAATATTTTTATATGCATTCGGTGTGTTCAAGATGTGTTATATATGTGAATATAGAATACAATAAATAGTAAGTAAACATTTTTTGTTTCTTAAATGGCGAGAAAGATAAAGTATTAAATCATAGGCTGCTTAATGGAGTTATCTTATTTGCTTGATAATAGTTCTGTCTCCCTTCGTCGTCTCTCTAGCAGCTACCAGCTACATCCCTTGCATCAGTTTCAGTTCAGTCTGACAAAGGGATGTTTTTGTACGACTGTTTTTCACTGTGTGAACACATGCTGACTGTTGATGTAATGTTGACTCTGACAGTAATAAACTGCAGCATCTTCAGCCTGAACTCCACTGATGGTCAGAGTGAAGTCAGAGTTTGATCCACTGCCTGTAAAACGACTCGGAGTCCAGGAGTCTCTAGAGCTAGCAAAAAAAATGAGACGCTTGGGAGTTTGACCATCTTTCTGTTGATACCAGGCTAAAAGGCGGTAGTTGTGCCAGACCCGAACATTCGGATTTGTTCTGCAGCTGATGGTGACAGATCCTCCCAGATCAGCTCTCACTGCTTCAGGCTGATTCACTGTGACCTGAGCTCTGGACTCTGAGGACACAGAGACAAAAACATAAAGCAGCTTCATGGTTTATCGGCTTCATTTCAGAGGGACAGATGTTCATAGAGGAGAGGAGTTTGATTCTCTGGACTTTACCTGTGAAGCAGCAGAGGAGAGTCCAGATGAGGACGCAGATCAAAGTCATGTTTTTGATGAGGAGGATTTCTTCTGTTGTCATCCAGTGTTCAACTCTCAGGACTATAAACTCTCCAAGAGCACTGGAGCATGGAGCTGCTGATGCAAAGTGAATCTCTATGGAAATACTCTGAATGAGTTCAACATGGACTTTGGCCATCAGTATTTTTACCATTATGCATCAATGTGTATTATGAGAAACTTAATAAGTATTTGTCTGTTTTATTGAATTAATCATGAGATTCCACAGCAGGTAAATTTAAAGATCCAACAACATTTTCTCTTTAGCTTTAGTTACTTTTATAAAATGTTAAAGTTAGTGAATAGTGATGTGAAATAGGCTGCTATCTGTTTTTATTTGTTTGTTTGTTTTTAAAGTAACATTCATTGAATAAGCTTTGAAAATTGTCTCAATATAATACGTCATTTATTTCTGTAAGCAGAGTGGGATATATGTAAACCCATAATATCGAAGTCACTATGTGTGTAGTCTTTGGCTCATACGTACTTTCTCTGAGGTTCTGATGAGGGTTTTTGATATAAAAATGTCTATATTTTCATTTTTTAAATGGTGTATTGACATTACAAAAATAAATGATTATGTGAGAATTTAATTAGTATGTGTTATCCAGATATATGGAAATATCTTGTCAATGCAACTTTAAAAAAGATTTTAAAAAATTGTTTTAGAAAAGCTATTTAGATTTAGAAGATGCAGCAGTTTAATTAATAAGAAATAAATGGAAAACTTTAAGAAGAAATTTCAGTTTTTAAGTGTGGTACTGAAACTTGTCTGTTGCTAAGGTTGAGCAGTGATGCAGATATGTTACCATAGATACAGAAAACAGAGCGGGAAATGAAATTTCAAGCCCTTTAATCTCCCCTTTTAAATTTATTTTTGTTCTATATAGTGGAAAATACCCGTCCCACCCTGACAGTGCTGCCCCCCTCCAGTGAGGATCTGCACCAGGGGAAGGCCACCCTCGTGTGTCTGGCCAACAAGGGCTTCCCCTCAGACTGGAGTCTGTCCTGGAAGGTGGACGGCAGCATTAACACCTTCACCTGGGAGGAGAACAAGAGCAGAGGAGTTATGCAGAAGGACGGCCTCTACAGCTGGAGCAGCACCCTGAGGCTCCCTGCAGACTAGTGGAGAAAGGTGGGCTCTGTGACCTGTGAGGCCACCCAGGGCTCCCAGTCTGCAGTCACAGAGACACTGAGGAGAGACCAGTGCTCCCAGTACTGAGCTTGTTCGCTCATGAATGTATTTTTCTCTTCTAATGCATTTTCTGTGCACTCTTTTTTTTTTATTACTTTTATCTATTAATTCTTTCAAGGCTGCATTTCTCAACATAAATATTTCAAAAGCTGAATAAAGAATCTTATAACAGAACTGTATACGTCATTGAAAAAAATATCAATCGATATAATTAGAAAAATTGCTTTTGATTTTTTATTAAGGTTAGAAAATGTTTTTAATTAAAAAGTTTAAGTCATATTTCACTGATCAGCACTAACCTCTATTGTGGAAATCTGTATTTTAATTATAAAAAAAATAAAAAAAAAAATGTCCTCCCTAAGTGGTAATGTTGGCATAAATAAGGAGTAGAAACAGTAAATTCAATTCAGTCCAGTTTATTTATATAGCTCCAATTCAACACGTCATCCCAATGCACTTTACAGTTCAACCAGATCATACAGTCAAATTGATTCAAGGTTTTCTATCTAAGGAAAACCAGTTGATTGCAACAGCTCTGACTCAAAGGCAATCCCACACACTAAGCATGTTTGTAGTGACAGTGGAGAGTAAAGACTCCCTTTTAACAGAAAGAAACCTCCAGCAGAAGCAGATTTAGTGTTAATGGCCAATATGCTGAGGCTGACAAGTCATTATAATCATTAAAGGGCTGCTCAGTGGTCAGTGGGTAGAAGTGCTGCCTTGTAGCAAGAAGGTTAGGGTTTGATTCCCAGCCCAGGGTCTTTCTGCATGAAGTTTGCATATTCTCCCTGTGCATGCTTGGGTTCTCTCCGGGTAATCCAGCTTCCTCCCATGACTTTTAGGTTACATAACATCTCTAAATTCTCCTTAGGTGTGAGTGTTTGGGTTGTTTGTCCTGTTTGTCTCTGTGTTGCCCTGCGATGGACTGGTGACCTGTCCAGGGTGTACCTTGCCTCTCGCCCATAGACAGCTGGAGATAGGCACCAGCACCCTTTGCGACCCCATTTGGGATAAAGCATGTGAGAAAATGGATGGATTGGTAATCATAAAGTGAAAGAGTACATGTTTGAATACAAAAATATTTAAAAGCACAAGTCTTTAAACAGTTATAAGTTCTATACCAAATCTTAACCCTTAATGATTTTATTACAGATTTACAGCTTAACAGAATTAGTCCCATGAAATATTATAGATCTTTGTGTCTATTTTACAATATAAGTTAAATAAAACTTTTATGAAACATCATAAATGGCATTTCCATAGAGCCATTTTGCATCAGCAGCTTCATGCTCCAGTGATCTTGTAGAGCTTATAGTCCTGAAAATGGAACCCTGGATGACTGACAGCTGTCCTTCATGACAACAGAAGAAACAGAAATCCTCCTCATCAAAAACATGACTTTGATCTGCGTCCTCATCTGGACTCTCCTCTGCTGCTGCTTCACAGGTAAAATCCAGAGAATCAAACTCCTCTCCTCTATGAACATCTGTCCCTCTGAAATGAAGCCGACAAACCATGAAGCTGCTTTATGTTTTTGTCTCTGTGTCCTCAGAGTCCAGAGGTCAGATCACAGTCACTCAGCCTGCAGCAGTGAGAGCTGATCTGGGAGGATCTGTCACCATCAGATGCAGAACAAGTCAGAATGTTCATGTCTGGAGCAGCTACCACCTTTTAGCTTGGTATCAACAGAAGGGTGGTCAATCTCCTAAGCGTCTAATTTATTATGCTAGCTCTAGAGACTCCTGGACTCCAAGTCGTTTTTCAGGCAGTGGATCAAACTCTGACTTCACTCTGACCATCAGTGGAGTTCAGGCTGAAGATGCTGCAGTTTACTACTGTCAGAGTTATCATTACATCAACAATCAGCATGTGTTCACACAGTGAAAAAGAGTCGTACAAAAACTTCCCTTTGTCAGACTGAACTGAAACTGATGCAAGGGATGTAACTGGTATCTGCTAGAGAGACAAAGAAGGAAGACAGAACTATTATCAAGCAAATAAGATAACTCCATTCAGCAGCCTATGATTTCGTACTTTCTTGCAAATTAAGAAACAAAAAATGTTTAGTAACTACAGTATGTATTGGATTCTGTATTCACATCTAGAACACATCAAATGCATATAAAAATATGAAATAGATTATGCAAATGTCATGATCGGTTTAGAGATAAAACCCACATGCAGAACACCACTGGAGACTTGGTAAAAGATTTAACAGAGTTTATTAAGGTTTCACACAAATGACAAGAACAAGATTCAGGTTCAGGTCCGGGCAGGATTCTCTGGCGTCTGCAGAGACGGATAGTTGGTTAGCTTGGTTTGCAGATGAGTTAAATGGGTTATCAGATATTTCAGTGGATACCTTGAAGAGGTCCAGGCTAGTTCTGAGAGAGGGAACCGGTTGGGTCCAGAGACTGTTGGTTCAGCAGAGTGCTTGAGCAGCAGCAGCGTCTAGCTTCTGACGTCCAGTGAAAAGACCTTGGTTGGAGTGATTAGCTCTTTCCTAAGAGCAGCTGGTGGATTCCAGAGTGAGGACTTCAGGTTTGGCTCTCTAGGGCAGGCAGGCAGGTTACAGGTTAAGCTCATCCAGAGCTTCTCTCGAGAGACTGGTTTCCTAGGAGCGAGAAGACAGAGGCAATTAGAATTGGGTTTCTCTAAGAAGATAACGATTAGTAAATTCAGAGGCTCAGGTTCGCTAACCAAACTTGGCTAACACTGCGGCGTCGAAGGAAGGTCTGGCAGCTGCTTATAAAGGCAGGTCTCCTGATGAGCTGATGAACGTCAGCTGTGCTGGAGGGCTCCAGCCCAGGAGGATCCACAGCCCACTCTGCTGGAGAAGGTGGAGAATCTCCAGATCCCAACAGCAAATACTTTAAAAAGAAATGTTTAAGTTTGCAAATTTTCAAACAAAGCAATGCTATGCGATAATGTAAATGTATCACTTTAGTCTGTTAAAGTTGATTAAGAAAAGAGAATATTGAACACAATCCCTCTAGGACTTATAATGCCTGTAATCTCTGCCTCTTCATGTGATACTGTAGCTCTCCTGAAGTCACTACTAGGTCCTCAACCATTCAACAGGTGATCCAACCAAAACACAAATTACAGTCATATAAATTATTACAAACAATATTACAGAAATAAAATTAAAAAAATAAAATCCTGAGCTAAGATGCGCATAGAAAACTTTATTTCAACTTACTTTTGATTAAATACCCTAAAACTGACAAGTAACCGGATAAGTTTCAAGAGAAACATGGAAATAATTCTGTAGGTTTTCCCTGGAGAGTCTTGGAGAATTACATTCACATAGCATACTAATCTAGAAAATCAAATAACCTTTTTTAAACTGTAAAATTCAACTCAAAGCATAAAGATGCTGAACACTTTTAAGATGCTCTCCTTGTTGTTTCCCTCCCCTCTCTCTAACAGGTAATTTTCCAGTTGATGAAGTTCTTCATCAGTGTACTCAGGTTCATAAAGATAACCTCTTGGCAAATCCTCATCAAATTTTGCAGTCTAAAATTAAAAATATAAAAAGAATGATAAGCTACTTATTAGCTTTTTTGTGAAGGTTGCATTATTCACAGCTGATATTGTTATGCATGGTCCAAACTGATTTCTGTTGGCAGGAACATGCCTACGTGGCAAAGTGAAAGCGGCCAAAGCAAAGTCCAAATTGAAATCAAGGTCTGAAAAGGTTCCAGGAACAAACACATGCATCATTTTTGTTGTGTTAAAACCTTTAAATATTTGGGGACTGGTAAAAGGCCTGCACTTATGCCTTTCAGGTCAGGGGACTCCAAAGCACAACAGTGACATCTTTTGGGCAAAACGTATAACTGCAAAGTTGCAAAACTGCACTATGAAAGTTTTATTTCTGTAGCACAAAAGTCTGCCATGATTATCCGACGGGTAGGCTCCATTGCCATGTCTCCCAAACTCATTACTAATAATATTTATCAACAATGATGAAGTTGCAGAGAGTCTCTGACACTTATCTAACTCTGGTCATCAGAGCATTTGAAATTAGAAACTAAAGATTTTCATCCTGATGATGCTCAGTTTCCCTCTCCATTGCATCTTTTTCCATCAAAACATAATTTATCAACCAGTTTACTTGTTACAAGTTGGTCCTTCTTTCGATTTTTAGAGCTTTTGCAAGATATTTTAAGGATATATGTCAAAATGGCTTCCATTGCCATGGAGACTTGTGATCACACACTGTACATCAGGACAGTTTTGAGGAATAAAGCTGAGGTATAGAAGCTGCACCTTGGTAGTCCCCCTTGACTTCTTCAAAAGGATAGCTGTCTATGACTTGGTGTCAGAAGCATCCAACAGGATGCCTAACAAGTGAGAAATGGTAGAGTTCAAGAAATCAGAAACCTATCACTTCTCCCACTCAACAGATTGACCTATCTCAAGCCATCGCTTCGACATTTTCTGAGTAACACTAAAGCTGAACAGTACAGCTTTGATGTACAGGTCAAGTACAGGTTAACATGCTTTTGTATGCCATTGGAAGACAGGCAGAGGCGATTAATGACTTTTTTTTATGAAGGGGAAAACCACGAAGAAGTAGTGGATGATGAAACCACAAAGACACGTCTTGAGTGGGACTACAAAACTGTAAAGGTGAAATTCAAATACTAGCTAATGCCTAGAAGGAACAATATTCATAACAGAGATTGCTTTTATAAGAGAGTGCAGGAGCTGCAGAGCCAGTGGTAACATTAAAGGAATAGTACACCCAAAACATGATTAGCCTTCATTTTCTACTCACCCCCATGCTGAAAAACACTCTGGAGTACTTTTTTGATATCTCAAATATCGGCAGACCAACCCAGACGAAAGTGCGCATTCAGCGTCTGCTCTGCCGATAATGCAAGCATAGAAGAAGAAATGTGCTGTTTACCTGTGCAAAGAAA